TCCCTGGTACCAGAAAAAGACAAAGAACCAAAACAAATACGCTGGGGTTTCTTTTGAAGAAGCATATACAAGATAGGATTCATATGGGAAGGAAAATCAAGGTGTCTCAGAGTGAGAGTAGGGAAAGAGGATGTGACCCAGGAGATCAGAATCCCCATCCTGAGGTTCTTTGTAAATCTCAGCAGAGAACCTCTGTTGCATTCTAAATGTCACAGGTACCCCAAAGGGGGAAGTGGCATTGTCAGGAAGCAGGAGGATGGCATTATCAGATGAAAGTTTTAGCTGCTGCAATGGATGGAGAAAGGGAGGTGTCCAGGGTGACTGTGGGTTTTCCTGTCTGTGTTTATAGTAGTGCCATTCACTGTGATTGAGGACACAGACATGGCAGGTACAAGGGAGGAGGAAAAGATTCATGATGCAATTAGTTTTGAGAAGATTGCATTTGAGATGTCTGTGGGGGAAGTCAAGAGATATCCATAGACACTTAGATGAATAAGTGTGGAGTTCTGAAGTAACTTGTGGGCTAGAGTTTTACAGATGAGAAACCGCCTGTGCAGAGCCGTAGCAGTGGATCAGGACACACAGGAGATGATAAAATGTGAGGGAAGGGAGAGGAATCCAACATAGAACCCCCAAACACACACATGGAACCCAACACCACCTACGAGTCAGACATTCAGAAGAAAGGCCCTCCAATTTCATAAGAATGACTAGAAAGAGAAGCAGTAATGAAGAGGAGTCCTTGTGGAAGGGTAAGTTAGGAACTTGTGAAAATCTGCTCCTTCAAAAAAACAAAGAGGAAGCTGGAAAAGTTGTCAAAATAAACTTTCTTCTAGAACTCTAAACTGTGACATAAAACCTGAGACCATCTGAAGTGTGTTTACTGAAGAGAAATAGATGAATCTGAGAACAACAGAGAGCTATGTGCAATTTTGACATGTAGTATTCCTTGTTCCTTCTTCTCCATCAGTTGCCACAAAAACAGCCTCACAACCATGGTAGCTGTGGAAACCAGCGGCCTTGCAGACACTGAAGGGGCAGAAACTATTTAGAGAGCTCCCCGGAGCCACTTTCCTAGGGAATTGTCACTACTTCCTCTGCCTCACAACTTCATGGAAGCTCCATTCACAGAGCTTTTCATTTTTTGACCTGACTCAGCTCAGTCAGTGGGAAAAAATATATATCAGGGTGTTTGTCAATAACCATAAGTGAGCATTATTTAAATAGATGCTGGAGGATGTAGTGATATCAACTGAACCAACTGGAGTAAATCAGAAGCTGGCCAAAAATCTTCAAAAAATTAATGAATAAAAGCTGGAGAATGAGACCTTCACAAGAGGCTTTTAAAAATTCCAATATGTTCATGGTCATCAGGAAAGCCCTCGGCATGCTCAGGGATGTTGAGAAGGTCCTAGTATCTTACTCTAGCTGATGGTGAGATCTTAACAAGAAGGAACCAAATGCTTAGGGAGAGTTGCAAACTACCAGAATATTGAGACTGTGCCCTTCTCCCCAAACAGAGCTCCTTGGCAAAGTGTGAGACACTGATTGGTTCAAGCTATTGATGGAAATCTTTATCAAATTATTTGCTGAACATGAGGCAAACTGAGCAGAGATCTCAGTGGTCACAAACAACAGAGCACAGACTTGAGAATGGGTTAAGAAAGTCATTGAACAGATGAGCTGCAGTGACATTCACAACATTAGCAAACAACAACCTAAAACCCTGGGGAGGGAGAGACACTATCTCAACTTGCCACATTCCGTTATTGAAAATATCCAGTTTTCAGAAAAAAACAAGCAAACAAAAATCTCAAGACACACTAAGAAACAGGAAGTTGTTACCCAAATACCTTTTTGAAAAGTCAATAGGCACCATCTCTGAGGAAGTCCAGATGATAGACTCACTAGATAGAGATTTTAAATCATATTTTATGCTCAAGGAGCAAAAGAAAAATCACATGTAAGTAAAGAAATAAATAATGTTTCACAAACAGCATATAGACAAAGACATGCAAATTGCTTTTAAAAAGAGCCACATAGAAATTCTGGAAAATACACTAACTAAGGTGAAAAATGCATTAGATAGGCTCAATAGCTGATTTAAGCTAATAGGTAAGAGTCTTCAAATTTAAATACAGGTCGATTGAGATCATGCAGTTTGAGAATCAGAGTGATACAGCTGGGAAGAAAAATTAACAGAGAGCATCAAAGACCTGTGGGACACCATGGAGCACACCAACACAGGCAGAATGGTCCAACAAGGAAAAGAGAAAAAAAAATAGACATAAGGATTGTTTAAGAGGGAAAAATTCTGAAAACTATCAAAAATTTCTTAGATATGAAACCAAATGCTTATGTGAAAACAGAATAAATAAACTGGATGTGATCAAGTTTATAAAGATTTTGCTTTGTTTGGCAACATCAGGAAATCAAAAAGAACCTACAGATTGTGAGAAAATATTTACAAATCTATTATTGAAAAGAGACTTGTATTCAAAAAATATATAAAAAAAACCACTGTAACAACTCATTTGTACATAGAAATAACAATTAAAAATGGGAAAATCTAAATGGTTATTTCTCTCCCAAAAAGAGATGAAATGATCAATGACCCCATGAAAGCTCAATATTGTCAACCACAAGAAAAATACAAGTGAAAATCCCAATAAGATTCCATTTCTATCCACTAGGACGGTTAAGTTCTAAAGGAACAAATAACAACAAAACTGACAATGATGTAAATGATGGAGAAAATGAGATACTCATATACTGTTGGAGGAAATGTTAAATGGCATACCTGCTTTGGAAACCAGTTTTTAAGTTCTTTGAAATGTTCAACATAGAATGACCATGTGACTCCAATAATTCTGTTCTTAGGTACATACTCAAGAACAATGAAAATGTAGTTCCATGCGCAAAGTGGTACAGAACTCCTCATAACAACTTTACTTATGTTAGCCAAAAATTGAAAACAATCTAATTGTCCATCAAGAGGTAAATGGGTAATCAAAATGTGATACATCAATACTATGGAATAGTATTCAGCTGTAAATAAGAATGATATATTGATATATAATACACCATGACTACATCTTGGAAATATTTTTTTTTTAAGAGAAAGAAACTAGTCATGAAAGACCTCATTTTAGATGACTTCACTTCCATCAAATTTACGGAATAGCCAAATCCACAGAGACAGAAAATAGATTAGTGGTTGCCAGAGACTAGGCAAAAGGGGAGAACTGGGAGTGACTGCTATAGGATATAGATTTTCTTTGATGTGATCTAAATGTTCTGGAATTAGATACTGGTTAGCATTGCACAACTCTGTGACTGGACTCCAAACCACTGAGTTGTGCAATTCACAAAGGTAAATTTTAAGGCATGTGAATTATATCTCAATGGAGCTGTTGCAGAGAAAAAGAGGAAACCAGGAATCATGGTGACAGCAGGCTCATGCACTATGAAAAAGTCCACTGAGATGAAGAATGAGAAATATTTACTGAATTTAGTAACAGAGAGGTATTTGATAAACTTAGCTAAAGACTGAGAAGATATGGAACAAATCAAGGTTTATTCATTCAACAAATATTTATGAGTTTCAAATCACATATTGACATGTGCCATTGTGAAGAAGAATAAATGAAGGGAAGAAAGCCAGATGGCAAAGGGAGGATTTGAATATGAGACATGAGAAATGGGAAAGTGGGAGTGTAGGCAATACTTATAAAAATTTGGCTGAAGGGCAGAAAACAAATAGTTAGTGACTGAAAGTGGACATATATTCAGTTTTGTTTGCAGTTAATCTGGGAGAGACTTCAGTCTTTTAACGTGGGTCAACTGGTCTCTGTGTGGTGTCAAGGAGAAGGACACATGGGATAAGAGGGGTAAGGCTGATGAGATGCAATAGGGAGGGGGTGATTGACAGGGATAAGTTCTGGAGAAGTTCACTGGAGCACTAATGGAAGAATCATCTTTAGGTAGAAAGGGATGTACCTATTCATTGAAACTGGAGGAAAAGAAGAAAGATGATTAGGAATGCAACTTATCTTAAAGACTTACAGGCAAACACTGAAGAAATGACCCTGTGCTGGATTTTTTTAAAAGGGAGATTTTTATCTGTGAATAAGCAACAATTGGTAAAGCTTTCTGACCTAAGAGGAGTTAGTGAAATAGATGTGATGGATGAAGCTTGAGAATAGTGTGTAGAAGAAATATAAAAAGCTGCTCTGTTTGTTGAGCGCTCAAATAAGATTTGAGGCTGAAAGTGGACATATATTCATTTTTTTGTGGCCCCAATCTACTGGTTTGGACAAATTTTTTACTCTTCCTGTTTTCCAAAGCAATGTTCAGATCATAACATCAATAAGATAAATCAGGGAAACTGTGAATATTTTATAATGAAAATAATCTATAGTTGTCTCCTTTAGTGTAGAAGATACTTTTCAAGACTCTCAGCGGATATCTGAAATCACAGAGAATATTGAACCCTGGGGATACTATGGTTTTTCTTATAAATGTCTATGATAAAGTTTAATTTATGAGTTAGACACAGTAGTTCAACTCTTCCAAAAATGTAGCAGCAGCTTCTCCATTGGGAGACAGCCTGTTCAGAAATTTGTATATATTTTAGTCCAAACTAGTTCCTGATTCTGTGTCACCACCCTTTATTTCCAATAAGTGGCTTGGTGCCATTCATTTCAAGGGATCACTTACTAAAGATTTGTGGAAGGTCTGTTTTGCCAATGATTTTATTGACCTCAGCATACATTGTTTTCCTTTTTAAGACAAGAATGTGTACTTTTTTTTTTTTGACTTGTACTATCAGAGATCAAACCCACGCCTTGCCTATAGAAGAACTTTGGTCTTTTCACTTAAGAGAACCACATTAGGGCTTTTCTTCGGTGTGTACATATTGCCAGTATCGCTCTCTTGCCCTTTGTGTTCAGTATAAAGTACAACAGTTTTCCTCCAGCACAAGTCCTGGGATACAGCAACAGCCAATGTGACAACCAAGTGACTGCTTGGTGGCTAACAGGCAGATAGGGCATATCACGGATGTCCCGGTGTCTAGTGGATCTACTGGACTAAAGGACAGCTCACATCCTAGGCAAACTGGAGTGAGATAATGCAAGATTTCATCACCCAACTCAGAATGGTGAGCAATTGAAAACTTACAATTTATTTATAGGCTTTTCTCCATTTAATAACACTTAACATTTTTCTGATTGTAGAGGAAACTGCTGTATTAATAAAGGAGATCTTTATTTTAATTAATTCATCAATTAATTTTTCAAGATGGGGCCTTACTGTGCTTTCCAGGTTATTCTCAAACTCTTGGGGCCCAAGTGATCCTCCTGCTTCAGCTTCCAAAATGTTGGGACCAAAGCTGTGTGCTTCACAGTAAAGGAGTCCTTTAAAGCTGGCATCCAGGATCCAAGCTATGGGTAGGAAATGAACTGGCCATGATTGTCAGAAAGAAATCAAAGGAGTCAAATAAATGGGGATTGTTTTTCCCCCTTCAAGTTCTCTTTTCTATTTCAGCCCCTCACCATCAACTTTCCATTTCTTTGCCTTCTTTAGGAGATTCTTATTTAAAATAGTTTTTTGTTTATGATTCATGAATTCACATGTTCTTGGAGAACTATTAACTGGCTGCCTTTGAGTGATGGTAAGACTAGACTGGGATGCTACAGACTTATCTTGCAGTTCCATTTTCTCAGAGGTGTTCTTATTTGGCCTTTTTGACATACCTGTCCTACAAGGAAATCCAAGACCCAGACTCCACTCCAGTGTGCCCAGGGCATGGTGGATGAAGTTCCAAGATGCTTAAAGAGGACCCTCAGCTATGAAGTACAGGGCTGAAATCCAGGTTCAGTTGCTTCACTCTCATCAATTTTATGCTGACAGATAAGTTAATTTTCATATGGCAACACACACTTGATTCAGTGTTGGAGTCCTATTTATTTAGAGGGATGATATTAATCATTACAAATCAATTTAAAACCATAATCTACCATATATTTTAAAGATAATTGTGATTCTATCAGTGTAATCCTTTCTTGACTTTCTAAATCATCTTTTAAACATACGCACTCATTACCTTCCTCCCTTTCCTAAATATTTTTTTTTAAATTAAGAACAAATATGAGCTAGGCATTATCCTAAGCATTATATAAGAAAAAGTTGATACTTTCAAGGGACTTAAAAATCCTACTGGGAATAGAATATATATTTGGATACATGCATATTTGAGCATGTAGCATATGTTATATTGGAAAGAATTAATTATGTATATTAACTATTTAATTAAGTTTCATGGGATGGCAAAATTTTTTTCTGTAGAAAATTCCTCTGAACATCTGTTCCTTGTTATAATTTAGAAATCAACAAACTTTTTATTACTATTTTACACACTTGATACTTAGGTAAAAATTTCTATTAATCTCTGAAAATTTGATGTTAGGAATTGCCATTTGGATGTTCCCAAACTTACTGTCAATGCCTAACACATTCTTACTGATGTTAACTGAAATGTTGAACCAAAATGAATACTAAATCTTAATGCAAATGCATATCTTTATCAGCTTTTATATATCTATTAAATTTAAGGGTACACACATTGAAATTCTTAGTTAATATCTTTGTGACCTTATTTAAGTTGTGGAACACCTGGCGTCAGTCTCCTCAGCTGTTCAATGTAGACAATGCTCTCCTTACCTTACAGAAATATTCTAGGGATCCAAGATGATGAGTGAAAATTCTATGAATCCTGGTAAAAATCCAGTAGTTCTAAGAGGTCATAAATGGTGACATTTATACAGTATAAAATATTATTCCACAACTCATAGGCTTGCTATTTATGACCTTTTACAAGCTGTTATTTTATAGGTAAAATAGGAAATACTCAAGGATATTTTTAACACACACATACACACACATAAATAAACATTCTTTTGAAAAGTCATCAGATCTAATAACCAGCAATATCATTTACTCGATATCTAAGTGTAATCAGGATCATCCATGACGTCACACATGACAGGTTTTTATTTTAAGTACAAATAACATTCCATTCTGTATGGACACCCCATTTTCTTTATCCATTCACCACTGCAGGCATTCAGGATGATTTCACATCTTGACCATTATGAAAGATGCTGCAGTGAACATAGGTCTGTGCACTGATTTAATTTCCTTTAGATATTCAGAAGTGAGAATGGTGAGTCACAGAGAAATTCTGTTTTAAGTTTTGAGGAGACCCCATACTGTTTTCTACAGTGGCTGTACCAGTTTGCATAACTTTGTCTATACATTCTCTCCAATACTGACTTTTCTCTAATTTTTTGATAAGTCATTCTGATAGGTATAAGGTGATATCTCATTATATTTTGATTCTGATTTCCCTGTTGATTAGTGATGTTGATCATCTGTATACCTGATGATTATTTATCTGTCTTCCTTTGAGCACTATCTCTTCAGTTCCTCTGCCCATTTAAAAATCAGGATTTTTGCTGTTGAGATGTTTCGAGTTCCTTATGTATTTTGCACATGAACCCTTAGCCAGATGTATGTTTTGTAAGCATTTTCTCCCATTCCATAGGTTGTCTCTCCATTGTGTTGATTGTTTTTTTTGTTGCACAGCATTTTAATTTTCTGCAATGCCACTTGTTTATTTTTGCTTTGAGGATGTTATCTGAAAAATCACTGCCTGGACCAATATTAAGATACTTTTCCCTATGTTTTCTTCTGGCCATCTTACATTTAAATCTTAAGACATATCATATTTCATACATTTGATTCAAGCAGATTATGAACTCCCATATGTCAAGAGCTTTGTAATGTTTTGAACAACTAATAATAAAAAAAAATCTTAAGACATTTTGAATTGAATTTGTTATTTGGTGTGAAATAAGGGCCTAATTTCCTTCACCAATGGACATCCCAGTTTTTCTAACACCATTTATTGGAGAAACTATCCTTTCTCTGTTGTGGGTTCTTGAATCTAAAACAGGCAAACTCATGCAAAGAGTTCCGTCATGGTTACCAGGGGCTAGAGGCTGGATAAAATAGAAATGTTGGCCAAAGAGTGTGAAGTTTCAAGATGAATAAGTTCTGGAAATCTAACATATAGTATTATAATATTGCTAATTTATCTTGAGATTTGCTATGCCATTAGATTTTAAATGTTCACACTCTACAAATACAAACATAAATAGCTTTGTGAGGTGATGAATATTTTAATTAACTTGATAATAGTAGCCATATCATAAAAGATATACATATATATATATATATATATATATATATATATATCTCAAAACATTATGCTGAATGCCTTCAAGATATAAAATTTTGTCAATTGTGCCTCAATAAAGCTGTGAAAAATTTTAAAAAACAGGAAATAAAACTGATCACTTCAGGCTATTACTGATTGGTCATTTAAGAAAAAAATCTTTGAGTATTGTTATTCAGATGCTACCTTTAAACTTTGAATATATCAACTCTAAATCAAGGTTTCTCAACTTCCACGTTGCTGAAATTGTTACCAGATCGTTCTTTGTTGGAAGATGATTAGAGAATGCTTGTGCATCATAGGTATTGAACAGCACTACTGGCCTCTGACATGAATGGCAGAAGTACCTCTCCTTTGTGACAGCATTAAATGCCTCTCGATATGGCCAATGTCCCCAAAGGGTGTGAGTGCACACAATTAATTGCAGATGGGAATGACTGCTTTAAACAATAGGGACTGGAACATTCATGGAGTATTTTACAAAGCTCTTCTAAATGGATTATATATTAAATTCCCACAACTAATAAGGCTTTGAGAAATTAAGTGATTTGTGGAGATCATAAAGCTGGCAATCAGGGAAACCAAGAATCAAATATCCCCTATTCATGCTAATTCCCCTATTCATTTCGCCTTCGTGTATTATATAATCTTGGCCAGGGCTTGGAAAAACTGTGGTATCCTGATCAAGAGATCTACTTTATGTTTCTCACAGATTCACAAAGGGACCACTGAGAGAGAAAAATATGTTTGTCCTTCCCTATTATTCCACCTCTGACTCAATCTCTCCTGATTAATAAAACTGTGAGGATCCTACTGGCAGTAATCCATGTTACTCTACTGGACAATGGGTGGGAAAAAATCACTGTTTTCATTTGGTCTCCCAGTTCTCCCTCTTTTGGACTAACCTACCACCCTTACAAGGGGCTTGCTTTTCTCATCTGCAGCTGCTGTATTATAAGCCCTACTAGGTGATTTTATTACTATGTGATTCTGGAGTCTATTTCTAAGTTAAGCCAAACTAAGAGGTGAGGTAATCTATTCACCTCTGTTTTCTGGGGACTTTATTAATTTCATCTCTGAGAGTCTCAGGATCTCTCAGTCCAAAGGTGAATTTGTATTCCCTTTTTGATTGACAGGTGCTACAAAAACCTGGGCAAGCCAGTAGGTGGAAACGGAGTTCTCAAAAAAATAGAATGATTTATTGATATTAGCTCTGAAGGATAAATCAAAGAAAGGGAAATATTTAATTTTTGATAACACATATAAGAGACAGACGGATACAGATAGATAGTGTCAGAGATGAGTGAACTCCCTAGAACAACCATAAGATGATTCAGGAAGTGGTTAAGTTTGAACATCTTGATGTGACATATTGATAACAGATAAAAAATTTATTTAGGGTATATTATAATTTAGAGTTAAGAATACACATGCATTTTGTTCTGATAATGAACCTATAATAACTAAAAAATAAGTATCAATATCTTCAGTTTAGGGACAAGCAAATCAAGACTGGTTTGAATAAGTTTCCTGAAGACACACAATCATTTAATGGCACAACTATGATTTGAACTGAGATTTGTTTGATTCTAATATTTTCTCTACTCTCACCCCTCTCCCTCTGCCTCCCTAGAGGACATCTAGAAATTTTCATTATCCCAAAGAATAGGCAGTTCTTAGAGCTCTGTAAATTCCTCTGAGGAAAAAAAAAAAAAAAAAAAAAAAACAAGAGTCATTCATTGGTTTTCCACTTAATTCAATTCATGTTCAATTCAATTAATATTTATTGAGGGTCTTCAGAGGACTTGAAACTGTATAGTATTCTCAATGAAGTGAAGTTTGAACATTTCAATTTTTTCTGA